TTCTGGGGGGGGGGGGGGGGGGGGGGGGGGGGGGGGGGTTGGAAAAGGAATAGAGCCATGGGCCAGATGTATCTGAAGGGCCTCCATGGGCCTTGTTTCCCAAAAACATAAGTGTTAGGACTTATTCAGGCTTCATTCATCAACAAATTCACACAATTGATACAAGTAAGTCATGTTTATTCTAAGTTTAACAAAAAATTACATGCATAATTAGGCAAATCAGGGTAGCTCATTTGCATAAATGTTGATATTTCTGTTGGATTCATACAGATTGTATTAGTTCATTCAATTTCTTACAAGAATAAATATAGTTTTACACATATAAAGGAAATATTTTATTTTTTATACATTTTTTTGCAATGCGAGTGCCAAGCTCGTAAAAAGTGTTCTGTCTTTTTGGCACATACACCCTGAAAAGGCTCCATCCTAAGAGGGTTAACTAAGCAACAAAACTTCTAACTTAGTTGACTGAGCAACACAACTTCTATCCATAAATATTGAAACAAACTTTACGGATCAGATATCTGTATCAATTGCACATTATTTGTAATTTTAGGCATATTTTCTTTGTGCTTAGTAAAACATTTTCTTTGATTGTTCCAACAAAAAAGAATTACTAGCACAGACATAGGTCTGATGTTTAGTAAAATAACCTTGTAGCTACTTTCCTGGCATCCAGGCATTCACACAATCAAACATATGTATCAGCCTGAGCATTGCCTTGACTTTAGGTGGTCTCTTTGTTTTTTATTCCAATTCATTGAACATATATTATGCAATTAAAAAAAATCAAAATTTGCACCAAAAATGTTAACACTTTACGCGATTTCTTTAAAGTTGTGGACTTTTTTAAACTTCTGGACTTGAAATTTATTCATGACTATTTGGCAAATTTTAACTTGTCGATTAAAACTTACATGCTTTTCTGTATTACTACAATCTAATTGGAACAATATGGTAAGATTACCTGGTATAGAGTCCCAAATATAATAAATATAAAATTGATTTATTATAGATTGATTTAAGATATTTTTTTTACTAAATTCCTGCCTCAGTTACTGAATCTACATATGGAATGGCAAAAAAAAAAAATCAGCATGCATTATTTATCAGTGTCTGGTTTGTAGACTTAGTAAAGTATAGAATTTAGGATTAAATATGATATTTAAAGTTCATTTTATCTTTAAGAAATTTTACACAATCTGCAATTAACAGGAACTCTAAATTTAAAAAAAAATTACTTTTTAACAATAATCAGAAATTTAGAGAAATCAGTCTTAATTTACCTTCAAACTCTTTAACATATGAATCAATTTGTTTAATTTTTGTTCACGCTTCTTTATTTTCCTATTAATGTGAATGACATTAATTCTATAATTCAGTCCTTGAATCCCCAGTTGACAAAGGTAAAGCCCAATGACAGCTGCAAATGCTTTCCATTTGATCTTTTCAGGTAGCATCTGGAAAAATTAAAGGATAACAGTAATAATATGTATGTCTAAATTTCTGTGGGGTTAGTCTCTGTTTTGAATCATTAAACAAAAATAAGAGAAAAAATCTTTCTAAAGTGTGTGGCATGATTGCATGCGGCATGTTTGTGTATGATATGTATGTGTATGAAATATATGTGCATGAACTGTATTTGTGTAACAGGTATGTGAAATAACATGTATGTATATGACATGTATGTTTATGGCATGTATGTATATGTAATGTATGTATATGTAATGTATGTATATGTAATGTATGTGTATGAGATGTATGTGTATGACATGTATGTGTGTTGCTTGTATTAGCATACATAAATATAGCTATAAACAAAAACTATTCTTTAACTGAAAAAAAATCCACCTTTTTTAGTTTTGTCATACCACAAAAGTAATGCTTTCTAAAACAATGAACTGCCAACTACCCATGGTCAACATTTTAAAACTGTCCCTATTACTTTATCCTTTTTTGAAAGAGAATGGAAAAATAATTGTGTTTGTTAATGAATTTTTAAGTTAGTTGAAAAAAAAGAATATTGATATTGACAAACATTAATATTTTAGTGTAGGTTGGCTGAAGGTAATTTTGGGACTGGGCTCATAGTGTCTACCACAAATTTGTGATATGTGTAAATATTAATAAGTATTCTACATTTCTACTACTGCATCTACTAGAATATCTATAAAGTTAGTTGACTGTCAAATAATCATATCATTACAATATGCATATCTGTTCTATGACTGGTCTCTAAGCTTCTGTGTAAACAGGATGAAAGTTATTTGGGGAAATTGCAAGACTTATTTCTAATTAGTATTCTTCTTCTTTATTCTTATGCCTTTCTACCCCTTCTGGGGCATAGGCCGTCTACAAGAACTTTCCATTCATCACGGTCCTGTGCTTTCCTTTTCAATTGCTTCCAGGTGTATCCAATATTTTGCGTGTCAGCCTCTAGCTCGTGTCTCCATGTATTCTTAGGCCTTCCTCTCTTTCTTTTTCCCTGTGGGTTCCATGTTAGGCATTGTCTGGTGGTGCTATCCGGGGGTTTTCGGAGCGTATCCCCTATCCATCTCCACCTTTTCTTTATGATATCTTCATCAATGAGCACTGGTGTGTCCTTTCTAGTAGATCTTTGTTATTGATAGTATTTGGCTTTTTGATTTTCAGGATCTTTCTAAAGCAGTGGTTCTCAACCTTTCTAGTGCCGCGACCCCTTAATACTGTTTCTCGTGTCGTTGGCGACCCCCAAGCCACACAATTATTTTCGTTGCTACTTCATAGCTGTAAGGATATATGTTTTCAGGTGGTCTTAGGCGACCCCTGGAAAAGGGTCCCGTGACCCCCAAAGGTGTCACGACCCACAGGTTGAGAACCGCTGTTCTAAGGCATGTGTTTATGAATGTCTGCACTTTCTGTATAAGGCTCACTGTTGTTTTCCAAGTTAATTATTATGATGAAAGTTGTTTGGGGAAATTGAAACTTATTTTTAATTAGTATGATAATTTGCTGATGATACCACCATTGTTGACTTAATATCTGAAGGAGAAGGCCTATACCGCAACTTAGTTACAAGCTTTATCAATTGGAGCGATGAAAATATTCTCCAGCTGAATATCTCAAAAACAAAGGAAATGGTTGCTGATTTCAGGAGAGGGAAACACCAGATTACAAATCTCAACAGAAAAATCAAAGTGTAAAGAAAGTGGAGGCATACAAGTACTTAGGTGTCACAATTAATAATAAGCTAACATGGCATGAGCATGGCCAAATGCTGTATAAGAAATTCAACAAAAGACTTTCTACCTGAAAAAACTGTACAATTTTGGCATAAACAATCAAGTCGTTAACTTATTTTACAGTGCAACAACTGGAAGTCTACTTAATTTCAGTATTACCTGCTGGTGTGGGAATTCAACGTCTGATATTAAAAACCGCATAAATTGACTAATCAAGAAAGCTAGGAACATAACACAAACTAAACATCCTTCACTTGAAGAACTATTTGAAGAAAGATGTTTTTGTAAAACTAAACACATTTTGGATGATACATCCCACCCTCTTCATCACAAATACTTTGGATTGGGCCAAATTCTTTCAGGGCGAGGACTGAAAGATATAAAAATCCTTTTTTCCCCAATCTGTACGAATTTATCGATTTGGCTAAGAGAACTAACTGAATGGCTGTTTTAAATAATTTATTATAAATGTCTTGTGTTCAAATTGTTTTATTTATGTGCTGAAAATGCATTCATAATGATAATGCAATCAAAAAACTTTTCTATTTATTTGAATCAATAAAAGAATTTTATCTTATCTTATTTAGGGAAATAGCAAGAATTATTTTTAATTATCAATATGTCATAAATTATAATTATTAATGTTATTTTGGAATTAAGTAAAATATCAATAACCATAATGCCAAAATCGATTTCATTCATAATTTCAGTCATGGTCTAAATACTGTTTACAGTAAATTAGTCATGCCATGCATTGTATAATTATAATAATATAGTCACTTTGTTAGGCATTATTGATCATTATTAATTTACCTGAAGATATTTGTGGATATAGCTGAAATAAATTTCAAAAGCTTGAAATGGCATTATATATGGCACCATTTTAGCGACTGTGACCACTTGATGCACTATTCAAAGACTGAAACTGTGTTGCGACTGTTGTCAAAAAATGTAAAATAAGTTCAATGAAGGAGCCGCTAACGCAGTTTAAATTCCTGTGCGCCAATATCTATTTTGTATATTAGGCCTATTAATAAATAAATAGCATCTGTCTGACATGGCCGTCAATGGACACAGCTGGAATCCTAGATGATGTGAATGTGTGGATTATAAATCTGCGGACTCTGGTTGATGGGGGGAAAAATACGAAATTATGGCATCTTTTTAAAGAAAAGAGTTAATTTTAAATTTTGTTTTGTATATTAATATGTATTTATTATTTTTTTTTTAGTTATAAGTTGTTAAGAGGAACTAATCACCCATATATACTGGAACATTTAATATAAGAATGATTTCCCTTGAATCAGCCATGCCGCGTCCTTAACAACGAATAAAAACAATGGCAGCTAACTAAGAATTTTTTTTTTTTTTAATTGTAGTTCATGTGTTTTTGAAACGGTAATTAATTAATTTCTTCAAGCATATTTTAAGAGGATTTAAATTTAATATGTAAGTGAGCTTTTGTTAATTTTGCTGGCTCAATAAATAGGCCTAAGTCTAAGTACTTTCATACTCATACTCATACTATTACTCTTAGTCTTAGTCTTAGTAAGTCTTAGTCAGATTATGATTAAGGTTATTTATATTTATAATTAATTATCTAGGCACTGGGCAATTAGTAGAATTAGTATCAATAGCTTTGGCTTTATTAATAATTATAATACTTAATTCACTAATTTAATAAAATTAAATGAATTATGTCCTTTAAACCTCATTAGTTAAGAAGTTAAGACAGTTAAGTAACTAATTAAGATACTTAGCAAGTTTAATTTGATTAATTTGACTTAAGTTAAGACTAGCCTAGGCTTAAACAATTTAATCATGTTCATATTTATTACTAGTAAATAGTCTTAGTCTATCTACAGCCTATAACTATAACTATAACTACAGCCTACAGACCTTCTAAAAGTCATCACATTCATTAGATGCATCAATCACATGTAATTGGGCATTATTAAACAAATAAGTAATGAAAGTCTGGGACACAAGTGTTAAATGGCTTATTCACTAAGTATTCAGCCAAAGCCATGCCATGTATAATTTGAAGTCTTTAACTTTAGCATTGTATAGCCTTATTAAATTATGCATATATAATTATATCTAATGACCAAATAGCCAAATTATAAACATCTTTATTTAGGCTAATCAACACAAAAAGCAAAATTTTGCCAGAAAATTACATTTTTATCTTCCCATGTTTCAGGCTTTTCTATTAAGGCGGGGCTAGAATTAATTGGTCAATTAAAAAACTAAGCTAGTAAATTATTCAGTAAAACACCATGGGATGTAAACAATCACGAACCATTAAAGTGCAGCCTATTGGGCTTTCAAACACAAGTGACAGAGGAACATTGAAAGTAAAGGAAGGTACCAATGCTAATAGAAAAATTAATGAAACAAAAGATATTATTGTGGATGAATATGAAATAGATTCGGATGGCAAAAAAATTCCAATGAAAAGGAAAATACCATTGCTGCAAAAAGGGAAATCATCACTTAGTTTGGCTGATCATAGGTCCTTAGATGGAGATCGGGGATTTTCAGCGACCTCAAAAGCTTCTGCTGATTCAGGGCTTGGCGAGGATGATTACGCATATGGCAAAGACCTTGGCAACATTATAACAGAATACTCTGCAGAAGATGATGTACGCAAAGTGGAGAGAAGTTTCATTGAAAGGGATGATCTAGGTAAAGATTTTGTTTTCATTAAAAAATGATACGACAAGTAATCTGTTTAGTTCTGGAGTTATTTTCTTGGTTCTGACATTTTTTTGTTCCTAAGATTTTCATTAATATAAATATTGCATTAAAAAAGATATCATATTTGATTTAGATTCTTTTTAGTGCTTATATAAATTTTAAGAATCTAACAGGTTTGTTTTTACAATGGATAAGGCACATCCCATTTATACACTACTGACTAAAAGATGATAAAACTAGATGCTAAGTTTCAACAATATAGGCAATTATGTATTGTGCTAATTTTTTTTTGGAATCTTACAGATTTAGGAATTACAGGGTTCCAGCTCCCAAATAGACATAGTGCTAAACTGGCTGATAGACTAGATGAATCAAAAATCTTACAGTCCCTTAGGGAAGAAGGACTTATAGCCAAGTAACTAAATATAATTTATTTGAATTTAAAATGTTTTTTTACAATCATTGACATATTATTTAAGTGGTTTTTTTTAATTACTTTCTTCAAATACTGACTTTAAAAATGGAAATAAGAAGAAAGGTTGATTTCATAAATAAAAAACATAAAATATGGTAATTTTTTCCCCTCAAATAATCTTTTATACATTATAAGAAAGAATATGTTGAATTTTATTTAGACCTACAACAGAGTCTTCTGGGGGTGTGAGTTTTGAGTTAGTCACCAGTGAATGTTTCAATACAAGTGGACTTCCTTGTCCTCCACCAAGACAACTTGCAAAACTTGAGAGGAGAAGAAAGAAAAAAAGAGTTCTCACAGAAGAAGAAATAAAAGAAAAGTTAGAAAGAGCAGAGGAGAGAAGAAAAGTATGTTGTCAGAGGCAATAGAATTCCAAAGTGCACAGATATTTTAATGTGAAATGATAATTTAAAAAATTAAATTTTCTATAAAGTTGGCTGAATTGCAGCTAATACACTGCAGCAAAAGGTTTTAGGGCAACAGTGAGAATTTTATTGATTATTGAAGCAGGAAGAAATGATTCATAATTCAGAACTAGATACAGCCTAGCTTCTCTATGTCACAATGTGAAATACAATGCAATAAATTCACTGCCACTTCAGTTATTTTATTTTACCTTAAGTGTCAAGCAGTTAGTGTTATCGATTTAATATCTATTTTTTTATGTTAGTCATCAATCATTGTTAATTTTAAAAAACTTTAAAATTAAATGTATGATTTTTTAGATTCGTGAGGAAGAGCGGCTAAATAAAATCAAATCACTTGAAAGATCCGATGCAATTGCAGCCCTGGAGAATTTTGAACACTATAAGAAAGAGAAAGAAGAGCAACAAATTCAGAAAATGGATGTTGTAGCTGACAACCGTGAAAAGAGAATCAATGAAATAAAAGAAAAGATAAAGGAGAGAGAAAGGAGGGCAGAAGAGGTGCGAAGAAGAAAACAAAAGGCCTTGGAGGATAGATTGGACACAACTGGTATTATGAGCAACTCTTTGGATAATGAAATCACTGGCGGTAGTTTACTAACTAGCCAGGATTAGCAACAGCATTGACAGACACACAAAGAATTATTTAAATTAAACATTGGTTTGAATGAGTAGATCAGAATTTAAATAATATTAAAATATGTGGAACCATTATCATAGGGAATTTTTTAAAGAAATTAAGTTATTGAAAACTTAGTCTTTATAGATAATCAGTTAAGAAAATAAAAATATCTGCACATTCAAGCTTATCAAACGGACTATGAAAAGAGTTGATTAACCTCAATATAACAAAAACCTGAAGTTAACAAACTCATCAAAAGTATGATAATATTGATAAATATAAGTTTTTAAAAAAATAATGTGCGACATTTTAAAACATTTTTTAATGCTTGGATGTTGTTTTTTTAACAATTAATTTACACAGCTACAAAGATGTAATATTCTTTACTCAAGGTAATTTTATTCAAAGTTTCCATGTATTAATGAATTTGTTCAAAATTAATGTTAAAAACATTCCTGTTAGAAGCAGTATTTTTTTTGAGAGAATTTTTGACCTAAACAATGACATTCATCATTCATGTATTTGTGAAGTACAAGATTTCATGTAAATCTGCAACTGTAACAAAGTAAATAAACTTAAGCTCTCCAAAAGAATAATTATGTTGTGTCTAGCATAATTTTCATGTGGAATTAAAATGCTCTAAACCAATGCAAATAATTTAGTATATGATTTTTTTTTTTTAAATTGTATTAAGCGGTTTTATGCCTAAGGGTAAAATTGATTATAAAAAAAATGTAAATCTATAATTTTTCTAAAATATATTTTACATAACTGCAAAGTATTCCTTTATTTTGTTGCTTTGTGTATGACAGATTTTAATAACTAATGTGAATCACATTCTTAAAAAAAAGCACTGGTGTCTTTGTCCAAGTGCAATTTTTTTGTAAATATATTTTATTTCAGTATTAAATTTCATCACATTTTAATATCTTTAATAACTTATTCACAGAGTATGCCCAGGAAGCTTTCACCAATTTAAAATTTTTTTTTTAAGTCTTTTAAGCCTACATATTAAAGAACATTTATATGGTCACTTGCTTATTTTGTATCACTTTTCATTACTGTTTCTTAAAATTAGTATTGTGTTGTTGTTTTTTTACAAAGCCTGTGTGATATATATGTTTTGAAGGTTTAAATAAATAAATTATTGGACAATGTTTGGTTCTCTGAAAATATGGACTGTTTTAGTTTGCAAGCATGTTGTGACGTTTCTTTGTTCGGATAAAACCAATATTCATGAAATACAAATCGTAGCAACTCATTCCTTAATTAGGAATAGTGTTTTAATCATTTTAAATATTAACAATTTTGGTTTGGCCCACCTAAAATAAATTTCTGTAGACAACTTCATAGAAAATGCTTTTAAAAGCTTTTAAGTCTGTACACTTAAAACACCACCATTCACTTTAAAAAATATTTATAACACTTATTTTGTAAAATATTTTATTGAAATGACATGGAATGGTTATGAAAATGAAATATTTTATTATTGCATGAAATCTACAGTGTCAACATCTTAAGCCCACATTCCTGGCAGAGAAAATCATTGGAATAAATTAAGAATATATGAAAACCATTATTTTAATGAATTTGAAATACAATGGAGAAGTTAATTATTAACACCACTGTACTTTAAGTTTTCATGCACATTTGGGTTGTTTATTGTTTTGTGAAATTTCATGAGGCAAAGTAAGTTTTTAATGATAGCAAATAATTTCTTGATAAGAAAACACACAGCAGGAAAGATGATATCTGATCTACTATCAGATAATAAATGAAGGGGACATACCTTGTTCCTGTGTTATCTATTAATCATAATCATTTTGCAGTATTTTCATAGGTAATATTTCTAATGATTTTTGGTAATGGCAACATAACTAAGGCACATGGGTAATGGTAATTTTCAGACTAAAGTTAGCACATGTTTTGGTGCTTGGTTGTTCATAATTAACAAGGATTTAGTTAAGCACACTAATGTGTCCTACTAACCATGATGAAAACAAAGAATTGGTCAAAAAAGAAAAGCATGATTATCCATATGACAAATTGGACCTTATCCACATAATAAATTGGACCTTATACATGTGAAAAATTGGATCGTATCCATATGACAAATTGGGTCTTATCCATGTGACAAATTGGATCTTATCCAATAACATGCATTGCGATTAACATAATAGAATGAACAGTATAATACAATAGTTAACATAGTCATTTTACATATAACAAACGTTAACATAGTCAGCCAGTGTACGTGTAACAAAATAGAAGTGAATTTACTCTTCTCATTGCAATATGAACAAGATTCAAAGGCACAATGTTGTAAGTCTCTCTGACTTTCAAAAACACCAATTATAATGACCAGCCCACAGCTCTGGGTCCCAAAACATCAAGTTATGATACAATACGGGAAAGCTAAAAATAGCTCAGGCACCCTGGATCAAGGGTAAAATAGCTGGGGAACCCTGGATCAAGGGTAAAAATAGCTGAGGAACACTAGAAAAGCTTGGCCTGCCACTCACCATTTTCCATTAGGTGCTGTAGAATCCAGCAAATACCTTTCACTGCAACAGGTTAAAGTCAAGTTTGTTTAACAACTTTTCGTTACATTGTCAGTTCCTTTGAAATGTTATTTAAATATAAGAAATGAGGAATTAAGCCATTAATTTCAGATCAACAATCATCTTATGCTGAAAGTCTGCACAGCGGCCAAACAGCACTATATGATATGGTACTTCAAATCATAGGGCTACCGGGTAAGCTATAAAGATTCACTAATAATAAGCAAAAACCTAAAAAAAGTTGATGACATTACTCATTTATGGCATCACTGTGTAATTAAAAACTTTATAAAAATAACTTATAAGCATTACATGATTTTTAAAAAAGAAATACTTTGCAGCAGTTGATCTTTAACTTAGCAAAATAATATTTGAAATCATTTTCATTCAGGGATTAACATGTCAATCAGATCTGCAGCTGTGGGAAATGATAAACATAATCATATTCTTCAAGCATTTCAAGTAAAAATCGCCAGAATATACCAGTTATAAACAATAAAAAAATTACACCTTTACAGCAATGACATGTTGATATGTTCATGTATTCTGTACATGCACTTCTTGGATTTGGAATCCCATTTTTTTTATAAACCATTGGATTTGGAGTCCCATTTTTGTAATAAACCAGAGTGACCTGAAGTTCAACTTAGTGCAAGTGAAAAAGTAGATACTGGATAAGGAATAAATGAATATATAATAACCATAACATGCGGGGAGGGTGTGTGTGTGTGTGTCACTGACTAGGCCTGTACTACATGTGGGTTAGAACGCCACATCTTTCATTTTAATTTCCAAGCTTTTAACACATCCAAGTTTTGGACATAACCCAGAGGGCCTTCATGACATTAGATAAAACGAAAGGATACCAGCTGCATCAAAATTAAGTGCTACTTAAGAATAGGACCTTTTCTTTAAACCCAGACATAATATCAATACTTCGAAACATCCTAGCAATAAGTAAATACTTTAAAATACTTCATCTCATTATCTTTTTCAAACCTTTTCTAAAAATAAGTCCTTTGTACAAAGATAGATTATTTTAATGATGCCATTCTTTACTTTTTAAAATTTTTTAGATAGCATGCACAGCATGAAATTATATTATTTAAAATACTTTTTTAAAATGGCGATTACAAAGGCCATTTAATCTAGTATATTCCAGTATTATTTTCAAATTGTATAGGCTATCATTTTTAATTATTTTAGTGGGATAGAGAGAAATATGTGAGTGAGAGATATACTATATAAAAGTGTATCAAAGGCCAGGATGATGATACTAGTATAAATAAAACAATAAAACTACACATAAACAATATTCATATGGAACTTTAAGTGTAAAGATGAACATAGAATGAAATATCTTGAACAAAAGTCATCAGCCTATTACAAGTCAGTTGAAAATTTCACAAAAGTGAGAGTCGCTCAAGTATCACACAAAAAAAAACAACAAAAACCCCCCCCCCCCCAAAAAAAAAAAAAAAACAAAAAAAACCCCCCCCCCCCCCAAAAAAAAACAAAACATTCCTTGCATTTGTGGTATAACACAATGATCACAACTAAATTCTGGATGTTTCTCATTGTTTACTTTTCTACTAATTTATTGGCTATGAACAATACAAACTGAATTATTGCTACATATTACTTGACATGAATTATTAAAAGGAACAAATCTGTGGAATCTAGGTGCACTGCTCTTTAAAAAATTAATACTTTGCCTTTAGATATCAACAAAATATTTAAAATCTTTACTTTCATTTTCACATGCTAAATGTGATTTAAATTGGTTTTGTTTGTTTATGTGATTTTGCTTATGATTTATATACAGACACTCCCCACATTACAAACTCTATTTTTGAACTTTACGAACATACCTATCATCAAAGTGAAATTTGTTTTCGGAGTCTGAACAAAAATAAACAGACGGAATGTAGCGAACATGTCTACATGATGCATGATTCTACATAAGCCCCAACAATTTGCAACAAACAGAGAGTTGGGAATACCCTGGCAACTTCAACTGCTTCCTACTCCTCCATCTTAACATGTAAAGATCTACTAGCCTCCTCTTGACCCAATCCATGTAAAGATCTACTAGCCCCCCTCCTCAACCCATCCACACAGTCCAAAGTATGTTACGGTCAAGTAACTTTTTATTTATTTATAATGGACTGTATTTAAAATATATATATTTTTTTTTTAAATTTTATTGTTCATTTGATAGTATTTATGGCTATTATCTCCCAAACATCTTTAGGAGATATGTATAGCTAACAGTGAACAAAATAAAATTTTACGAAAAAATTCATGGTACGAAGAGTTGTTCATAACGTAACTTGTTTGTAACTTGGGGAGAGTCTGTAAATTAGAATAGTTATAATAATATCCATAAAGTCGTAACAAAACCCAACATACAATAAGATGTGAATAATTGTAAAATTGAGAAAAGCCCTTTAGCACTTACCACTAACTAAGAAGGCACCATTATATAATTCATTTTGAACGTGTCCATTAAAATATAACACAGGCTCTGACAATAGAAAACAGTAACATATGCTGTATTGGACAGATTTCTTAACATCTTCATTTTCTGAATAAAATACATTTTAGTTACATCAATTTTTAAACTTGCCACTTTTCTTTAACAATTCTTATACAGTACTTATTTCAACGTCTTACGGTACTTATTTTTAAGTGCTTATTTTTAAACGCCATACTATACTTATTTCAATGTCTGCAGAAATGAGAAAAAATGGTTATCATTATTTCTAACTTCCTTGTAACCAGACATTCAAAATCAAGCTTTTACAGCGGAGACATACTCACACTCACAAGGTAGATAATCATCACCAACTGTTCATTTAATTCATTTCAACATACATTCACATATATGAACTATACATAAACAGTGCTTCGGCCCCAAAAGCCAATATAATATATATGTTCATTCTGTTGTAAACTCACTACTGTAAAAAGAGGTAAAGAGACAAAAATACATCTTATTAAGTATTTGTATGTCTGTTGATACTAGAAAATTATACTTTATTTAGAAGTAAGGTTTATGGTAATGGCTGACTTAAAGCTTAAGGGATTTTTCATAATGGACATCTGCAAAAAACAGAACTGAGAAGTAGAGAAATTTACAAAAACACAA